ACCCATGTCGGGAATCGAACCCGGGTCTTCGGCGTGACGAGCGAACGCTTTAACCACTAGGTTACCCGACCGCCCCGAGCGTCACAGAGAACCGGTTGCGGCAGCTAAGATCCACGCCGTCGGGACTCGATGACGTATGATCAGACATAAATGGTTACCACCGCTCCTACTGTTGATTAACTCTAACGACAGGTATAGGGTCTACTGGGGACATGCTATACCTCGAGACCCCCAGGGGGTCGACGCCGTAGCCTTTAACGGTGTTGATGTAACGACAACCGTTGCGCTAACACCCTTTTGTGAAACCCCTTTATTAATAAGTCGAGCACCGTGGATGAATCCAAGTTAGAACAGGCGCCGTTGTAGAAGACAACCTTAGCCTATCGACTGTCGAAAGTCTATGTTGAGGTATAGGAGGTACTGTCACCTAAGCAACCTTTGTACAACGGCCCACTGGTCCCCAGCAACCTTTGCTGATCGCAAAAGGCGACTGAATGGATCGGGTGACTTGGTTGATAGCATGTCACTATTACCCGACACTGGGACACTGCCCACAATATCAATCACTGGACGGTCTGGCCCAGACTCGATTATTTACAGGCCGCTGTCATATAGCTGGAATATTGCTGAGTGCGGTGTTACACAACAAACAAAACAACAAACGGAACAGACGATGTCGTGTTTTTGAAAACATTTGCAATTAACTGATTGAAACACACGGAATCGCTAAAATACCTAGGATGTATTTTCTCCACATTTCTCCACATTTGTCGATCTTAGCGCTAAGGTGATCGTAACTCTCATTCGTTAACGCAGACTTACGACAGAAAATGAAGCTTCGTCTTCTTCCGATTCGGTACAGGAAGGATATTGATCAGAGTGTGATGTCCAACATCTTGTTATGGAGACATCCACCGGTCATTTTACTGAAGGATGTAGAGATTAGTAGTGGAGGAAAACGCTATCGTACGCCCACAACTTCATCGTTTGTCAAGCACGAAATGTGCGATGCAGATTTGAACCGGGGATCTATTAGGAAAACACTATAGGATAGCTGTAGCTCCGTTTTGTCCCAAGTCAAACCAAAATCTTTTAATGGTGCAACACAGAGATACGTTTAACGCAGCTTCCAAAGAACAACGCCCGGTTTCTACTTTCTAGACCACATAGCTGGCATACCATACACTTTGTTTCCCGAACAGTTGCGCAACTTTGTGGCGCGACATATAAACCGGATGTGACATGTGGGGGTGGCAGGGCGTAAGTTGACAGCTGGAGTCACACTATCCCACACACTTCCGGTACGAGCGGAAACGCGTGTCTTATCCGGAATAAACAGATTTGGTGGTACATATGCACCAGGTTATTTTAATCTATTGTAGACAATTACTTAACAATGGCCTCTTGGAGACTCAGGGCTACAGTAGGTCCTCAGTTAACAATGCTTGTCGTAAGAGGCGACTAAATGGACGTGTGGCCTTGGTTGAAATGATGTTATCGTTTCCTGACGGCGTGGGACGTTGCTCATACTATCATTCCCTGGTTTCGCTGGTCCAGACAGATTATTTAGAGCCCACTGTCGACAGCGGTGTTAAACAACCAATAATCAAACACATCCTACCAATATCGTTCGATGAACGGCTGCACTATATATTGTTATAACCTACTCGAAATGAGAATAGGTCTTTTCACTTATTGGGGGCACGGGTGGCCCAGTCGTGTAAGCCGTCGTGATTCGCTGTGCCGAGTTGCTTCCCTTGAGGACGCCAGAAACCTATGATTGTGGGTTCGAATCCCGGTTCGCCCCGATTGTTTCTAGGTTTGTTAGCCCCATACTCGTGCTCGTGGGTTTCACCAAAGTGGTAAACGTCTGAGACCTGCATCACTTTGGGCTTTCCTCCTACATTAAGCTAACACGCCGTGATATAACTGGAATACCGTTAATTGCGGTGTTAAACCCAACTCACTCACTCACTTTTGACTTACTAAAGTACTGGACCTGCATGTGCTAAAGACTTTTCTTGTAGTATAGAACATCCCTCAACTTCAATCAATGAAAATTCAGTCAACGAGTCGGATAGACATGATAACATTGCTGAACAGGTCTAAGCCATGGATCCATTGAAACTATTATTCATGAACATTTACAGATGAATAAGATATCTGCTTGCTGGGTGCCAAAGTTTCTAAATTCTGATCTTAAGGAAAAAAGAACTGACATTGCCAGAGAAAATTTACAAAAAGACACCAAATACACCAAAAAGATTCCAGTCTTCAAGATCAGTGAAGAAAGTTATGGCCACTGTATTCTGGGATGCAAAGGGTGTGATCCTTGTTGATTACTTAGAAAGTCAAGAGACGATTACCGGTGCCTACCATGCTGATTTGCTTCATCGCCTGAGAGATTCTATCATATTAGGCTTAGAACTTTTTGGCCAGCCCTCGAAGAAACATTATCAACACGTTACTATGCTGAAAACAGTCGCCGGAACATTGCAAACTTAAGGTCCAAAACACAGCCCTGATGAAAATACATCACTATCGAATACCTATTTCTTGTTTGTTTCATTTGCATCAATTTGCATATACTTTCGGGTTCCAAGTGCCAGTGTTTAGGGTAAGACATGGTCAGTGCCAGTGTTAAGGGTAAGACATGGTCAGTGCCTGGTTCCAAGTGCCAGTGTTAAGGGTAAGACATGGTCAGTGCCTGGTTCCAAGTGCCAGTGTTAAGGGTAAGACATGGTCAGTGCCAGTGTTAAGGGTAAGACATGGTCAGTGCCAGTGTTTAGGGTAAGACATGGTCAGTGCCTGGTTCTAAGTGCCAGTGTTAAGGGTAAGACATGGTCAGTGCCAGTGTTTAGGGTAAGACATGGTCAGTGCCAGTGTTAAGGGTAAGACATGGTCAGTGCCTGGTTCCAAGTGCCAGTGTTAAGGGTAAGACATGGTCAGTGCCAGTGTTTAGGGTAAGACATGGTCAGTGCCTGGTTCTAAGTGCCAGTGTTAAGGGTAAGACATGGTCAGTGCCAGTGTTTAGGGTAAGACATGGTCAGTGCCTGGTTCTAAGTGCCAGTGTTTAGGGTAAGACATGGTCAGTGCCTGGTTCCAAGTGCCAGTGTTAAGGGTAAGACATGGTCAGTGCCGGGTTCTAAGTGCCAGTGTTTAGGGTAAGACATGGTCAGTGCCAGTGTTAAGGGTAAGACATGGTCAGTGCCTGGTTCCAAGTGCCAGTGTTAAGGGTAAGACATGGTCAGTGCCAGTGTTTAGGGTAAGACATGGTCAGTGCCAGTGTTAAGGGTAAGACATGGTCAGTGCCAGTGTTAAGGGTAAAACATGGTCAGTGCCGGGTTCCAAGTGCCAGTGTTAAGGGTAAGACATGGTCAGTGCCAGTGTTTAGGGTAAGACATGGTCAGTGCCTGGTTCTAAGTGCCAGTGTTTAGGGTAAGACATGGTCAGTGCCAGTGTTTAGGGTAAGACATGGTCAGTGCCTGGTTCCAAGTGCCAGTGTTTAGGGTAAGACATGGTCAGTGCCTGGTTCCAAGTGCCAGTGTTAAGGGTAAGACATGGTCACTGCCAGTGTTTAGGGTAAGACATGGTCAGTGCCTGGTTCTAAGTGCCAGTGTTTAGGGTAAGACATGGTCAGTGCCGGGTTCTAAGTGCCAGTGTTTAGGGTAAGACATGGTCAGTGCCGGGTTCTAAGTGCCAGTGTTTAGGGTAAGACATGGTCAGTGCCGGGTTCTAAGTACCAGTGTTTAGGGTAAGACATGGTCAGTGCCGGGTTCTAAGTGCCAGTGTTTAGGGTAAGACATGGTCAGTGCCGGGTTCTAAGTGCCAGTGTTAAGGGTAAGACATGGTCAGTGCCAGGTTCCAAGTGCCAGTGTTTAGGGTAAGACATGGTCAGTGCCGGGTTCTAAGTGCCAGTGTTTAGGGTAAGACATGGTCAGTGCCGGGTTCTAAGTGCCAGTGTTAAGGGTAAGACATGGTCAGTGCCAGGTTCCAAGTGCCAGTGTTTAGGGTAAAACATGGTCTGTGCCGGGTTCTAAGTGCCAGTGTTTAGGGTAAGACATGGTCAGTGCCAGTGTTTAGGGTAAGACATGGTCAGTGCCTGGTTCTAAGTGCCAGTGTTTAGGGTAAGATATGGTCAGTGCCGGGTTCTAAGTGACAGTGTTTAGGGTAAGACATGGTCAGTGCCAGTGTTTAGGGTAAGACATGGTCAGTGCCTGGTTCTAAGTGCCAGTGTTTAGGGTAAGACATGGTCAGTGCCGGGTTCTAAGTGCCAGTGTTTAGGGTAAGACATGGTCAGTGCCGGGCTCCAAGTGCCAGTGTTTAGGGTAAGACATGGTCAGTGCCGGGTTCTAAGTGCCAGTGGAAGTAGGTTTTCTCCTGTGTGCTACACTCCTTGGCAATCTTTGTATCTGGCCTTCCATGCAGACACAAGGTCAAATCTGAGCATCCAAGCATACAGATGTGGAGGAGTGTCACAACTGACAATTTCCAAGGTGAACAGCTAGTGAGTTGTTTTACACTGCTTTGAACAGTATTGCATGTCTTAAAGATGTTTACCACTTAGGTGAAACCAATGAGAAGAGATAAACCACAGGACCATGTAACTAATATTCTATACTAACAAACTCGCTGACTGCACGTTTGTTGGTATAGAATATTAGTTACATCATGAGGGCAAATCCCAGACTCAAACTCAAGCTTAGAATCATTGCACCTTCTAATGCAATTCTGCACAGGTGAAAAGTGAGTGAGTGAGTATGGTTTTACGCCGCTTTTTTGCAATATTCAAGCAATATCACGGTGGGGGACACCAGAAATGGGCTTCACGCATTGTACCCATGTTGGGAATCGAACCCAGGTCTTCAGCGTGACGAGCGAACGCTTTAACCACTAGGCTACCCGACCGCCCCACAGGTGAAAAGAAAAGAATGTTATTGCAGTATTGATATCAATCAATATTCCCCTACTTCTGGGGCTAATAAAAAATAAGACTTGTGTATATAAAAAAATCTTCACCTTTATTTCTTTTGAAGAAGGTAAATACTACATTCAAGCTCAGTCTGACACTCTCTCAATCAACAGGTTGAGAACCAACTCTGCATGGTAACCATAGTAACAAAACACCAGCCTTTCTTCAAAAACATTGCCTCAAAACACCTTAACATAAGAGTAATGATAATTACAAGAAAAGTTGTAATATCTTGATTCATGTTCATGACCAAACATGTCGTAAATCTTGTGTTTAACATGTCAAACAATTGTCAGAAATCAATTTCAACGTGTCTCTTCATTCCAGGCAAACGTTATATCCATGCACATTGTAACAAATAATGTTGAACACAAGATAAACATCAGTAAAACCGTTTGACATTCAAGATGAAATAGCACAATACGATACACGAGGAGCACTGATGGTGACTGGGAAAGATGCCGATCAAAATCCAACCATTTCCGAATGTGAAACTAAACAGTTGTCAAAAATAATTTAGTTTTCCTTAACCTTGCTGAAGCCACATCTTAGTCAATGGACTTTAACATGGCCAATGAGGACAATGTGAACCGGTGCAACTCCTCTCACAACGATAACATGTTAATCAAGTTATATACAGATGACATGTGAATATGTACAATCAACAACAGCATGAATGGTTCTTTCACTCAGGATAACAAATATGTTGAATATATTACAAAAAATAATCAGATAATGGAGTTCAATAATTGATCAAAAATATTAGTAACATGTTGCAACTTATCAAGTGTGCGTAACAAATCCATTTCCGTAAGACTTGTTTACTAAACGATTCAAAAACAAACAATGTATGAGGCTTAATAAAGATAATATCACACATGTATATATACTGTTTCAGATTAAATGGTATTCTACAAGAAAGGTGGGTTTTTGATTTCATCATGTTTGGAAGCAGAACTGAACATCACATTTATAAGAGTACATATCACCAATATGTACTCAGGATTTGCCAAATAGGGTCTACATCTGTATTTCTCACACAAGCATGGTAAGTAGATTAAAAGAATAGTTGATGTCCTGCATTATTCAAGCCTCTCCAGGATATTCTTCTCACATTGTTGTGTTGTGTTGGATGAAAATGGAACAAAGCAAACCCTCCCATTAGTAAGCAATCTAGACCTCCTGAAGCGAGCGAAATCCCTACGAAAGCTCAACATCTAGAAATGTCACCTAAAAGCAGAGCAACACTTGTCAAAGAGGTAACTAGGCACAGAGATATCGACAGTTCTAGCATTTGGAATCAAATAATTCAAATCTACATAGGTTTTTGTTCATTTAACATCTGGTTACTCAACTGCTCATTTTCACCCCTGTAATTATTAATGATGTCTAGATAAGCCAAGAACCAACTACTCTGCCTTGTACCTCTCTCAAGTGCTTGTCTTGCTTAATTCTTGGGAGCAGTTTGCTAGATATGGAACAATACAGCCCATCCGGGCATAGCTCCTGACTGGACTACTATCCTGTGCCTCCTTATTTCCATTATCTCAAGCAGTAAAGCTAGATGGGAGACAAGGGGGGAGTACAGATTGCAGTTAATGAAAGTCATGAATGTTAATTCAAATGGTTTGGGATAATTACAAGGCAAGCATTTGTCACATGTGCTCCTATGTAAGCTGCTACAAATGGTAACCTATGATGGCCATGCTATGATGCTATGATAGGGTGTGGTTGATGTGAATTACCCTTCACCAGAACTCCAAGCCCATACAATATATGCAAGTCAATACACAAAGTCAACGCTACTCTCAGTTTCTGAACTGTTCCAAAAATATACCGGGAGCTGAGTACCACCATATCTCACTCCACTAGCTCCAGCTGTTAGTATTATCAGGAAGGAAGATCAAAATCATACCAGCTTCCTTCACAAAGAAACAAAATGGATGTTCTTTTTAGGTAAAACTTCCAGCATGATTTTTTTGGGTCTCTGTCTACTCAATTTCCTTCCGCGAGTTGTCAGATGTACAATGAATCCCATGCCAGATGGTCACTGTCAATCGTGGTATTAACACTTACATCAGTTAACCCCTTGGGTCTCAATCCCCAATACTATCCATAATGAAACAGCAATAGAAAGGAACCGTAAAAATAGCTATCACAACCTCAGTTACCATTAAATGATCCACCTAACACACCTACCATGACTGGCTTTTTTCATCACTCGGCATATGCAACAAGTAAACACTGGCTTAGTCAAGACCCAGTCCACAAGTTCAGTATTTGCGTGTTCCAAGTTACTTTCAAGATCATCCCTGAATCTAAAAGCCCCGAAAAACAAATGGGAATCCAAAATTCAACGCCACAGTAGACCTCAAGGGGTTACCTTTCAATAACACTCAATATGATCAATGATGATATATTCTGTTTCCTCAATCATCTTTCTTGATATTTTTCCTTTTCTTGTTCCCATTGGCAAGTTGGTCTTCAGAGCTGTAATTCCTGGGAACGAGAAATACATTGCCATCACTGGACTGCTGGAGAGAGTACTCATTTGGATCATATGGGCGGCCATGTTCATCCCGCAGTGAATGGAAGATCTCCTGGTACATGTGGCTGAACTTCTCTTTCATCTCGCGTGTCTGCTTGTCGATCTGCTGCCGCTCCCTCACCAGCTGTTCCTTCATCTCCTTCAGGTTGTCCATCTCATCCTCCAGGGTTACCACAACATCTAATTTTCTTTTCCGACAATTCTGAGCAGCAACTTTATTTTTTCCTCTTCTCCTGATATCTCGGATGAGTTGTATTTGTGGCTCTGTGAGTTTGTACTTCGTGATCATCTCGTTAAATTCCTCCACTGGAGACTCAATGATTTGGTCAATCGTGAAGGGGACATTCAGCTCATGGGCACGCTTTTGATCTCGAGCATGGGGACCCTTTGTCTTTGGCTTGTCTGTCCTCATGCTTGTCTTTATTTCCTTGGGAGATGCTCCGGGCTTAAGAGGATATGTATGATTGTGATTGATGTGGTTGTTGCCACCAAGAGGCTTGTTGACATCGGTGTCATTGGAGGATGTGGAATAGTTTGTCTGGGAGGAGTCGCTGTGGCCGAAGCTGCAGGAGTAGCTGTAATGGTATTCATCAGGCTCATACTTGGAAGTCTTGGAGTAGGTAGGGCTGCCGTAGTCACTGCCGCCAGTTGCACCCTCCAGACCATCATATGGAGACATGACGTTTGACTCACTTAACTCCTGCAAATATAAGACACAAACTGGAATAAATAAGCTTTCCATTACCCACAGAGTGATTGCCTTCATGAGGTCTTCTCAAACAGTTCAACATGTTAAAGTAATCAGCAAGTCTACTGCACAAAAAAAGTTAGGGCTCATGAGTTTATTTATTTTTCTTTTGAAATTGTGTCCTCAGTCTTCGGTACAAGAAAAAAATCTGTTTTGGTTCTGTATATTAAAAAGATCAGGAAACATGACATGCAAATGAAAAGGAACACCGCTAATAACAGAATAGGGTTTAGAACTGACTGTCTTGTGTAAATTCATAGCAGCGTTGCAACACCAGCGTGCAACACCAGTCAAGAAGTTGACTAATTTGCAATTTCTGAAGAGTAGTCTGAGTTTACTAACCTGCATTGGAGAAGCACTGCCCATCGACACAGCAGAATCGCTACTGGCTTCATCCAACATCTGCATGGTCTGTAGTCCTGACAACACAACATCACAAAATAGTCATAATTCTCTCCAGTCATTTCCTGTCATGTCCCCCCCTCCTCAAGAACACAGATGACACATGACTAACATCACATGTGAACATGAAAGTACATGCCGAGTCATACAACAAGACAAACGTGGGGGAGTGAGTCTGAATTGCTGAAGATGTCATCATCCACTCACCATCTCCATCAACAAGCCAAACAGTCTCAATAAACATGTAACTAGTTCACACTCATTTCAGAATGTTTGATGGTTAACGCCGCACTCTGCAATATTCCAACTACATGACAGCAGTTTATAAATAATCATGTCTGGACCAGACAATCCAGTGATTGACATCATGAGCATCGATCCACGTCATTGGGAAACAATGACATGCATCAACCAAGTCAGCAAGCCTGACCACGCGATCCTGTTAGCCGCCTCATACGACAAGCATAGTCGCCTTTTACGGCAAACATGGGTTGCTAAAGACCTATTCTTCCTCGGATCTCACTTGCTGAATAACTGATGATACTGTCATCGAGTATCAGTCCCTGCTGTATTTCGTAATACTCCATGGAATATTTTGCAGAAATGCCCACTCAGGGCAGAAATGTACCTATTTTGCAGAAAATCATTCTGCGCAGAACGCAAAACTTGCTTTTTTGTGCCCCAGGTTTTGTCAAATACAGTGCAGAATTTTAACATGATAGACGAAGCTGGTTATAAACATGTAAAAGTTGCATATGTTTACTGAAATGAACAGTTGTTATTTGACTTGTGCATTATATTAATGAAATCATTTCAAATAATTATTTGAGGTGTTGTTTGATATGAGAAAAAAAAGAAAAGAAAAGAATTTGTTTTAACATGGGGACTTCATTTTGAAGTGATGTTGACTTTTGTATTACTGCATACCGAAAGTGCAGAATTCTGCAGTCCAAAGTCTGCAACCGGTTTTTGATAATTCTGCACACATTTCTGCAAACTTTTAAGCTTAGTTTTCATGAATTTCCTATTACGTGTCTCTATTACATGAAGATTGCATTGAGCTTACCTTCATTGATGGCCAGATCAAGCTCATCTTCTGGCAGGAAGTTGGGCAGGATGCCATCAATGTCTTCGAGACCCTCGGTCTGATTGACTGTGCCAGTGACATTTGAGAAGAGCATTTCGCTGGTATCCCAGTCCAGGCCACCCATGGTGTCTGTGTTGGGCACAGAGGAGTTGAACTCCTGGCTTGGGGGCAGGAATCCTGTAGACAGACACCAGTCATTGTTAGCATGTTTCTCTTGGTGGAAAAATATGGAAGCAGAGGCTGAGTGAGTGAGTGAGTGAGTGAGTGAGTGAGTGAGTGAGTGAGTGAGTGAGTGAGTGAGTGAGTGAGTGAGTGAGTGAGTGAGTGAGTGAGTGAGTGAGTGAGTGGGTGGGTGGGTGGGTGGGTGGGTGGGTGGGTGGGTGGGTGGTTGGTTTACTGCCGCTTTTAGCAATATTCCAGCAATATCACAGCAGGGGACACCAGAAATGGGCTTCACACATTGTACCAATGTCGGGAATCGAACCCAGGTCTTCGTCGGGACGAGCGAACCCTTTAACCACTAGGCTACAAGACCGCCCCTTGATATCTGGAACTTGTCAACTAGCCTGAACCAATCTGCCCTATACTTCGGGCATTGGAAATTATTCATTGTGACTATGTGCTTCATATATCATCTTAAGGGCATGAGCTTAAAAAAGAAGTTATTGTCATCTGCAGTTATGGAAAAGTGTAAATTAGAGTGATAACAGGCATACCTTACAATCATGACATGTGGAATGGCCTGAAAATCATCACTTAAATCAATGTACAAAGTAAAAGGCCTGATGTTGCTTCCTGTCACGTACCTGTGCTATTGATGGGCGTCATGCTTTGAGTTGTGTTGGTGACTGGAACAGGCATTGTGACATCGGCCACTGGAGCTGGCATAGTGGCATTCTGCAGCAGCACATTGTTGTTGATGCAGGGGCTCTGTACCGACTGAGAAGTCATAACGCTTGTTGTGTTTGCCTCGTTGCTCATGTTCAACGCCATGCTGGTCAATGTGGTGATATTCATTGATGGAGTGTTTATGTTTGTGACATTCATCTGTGGCCCAGTACTGGCGGTATTCAACTGGCTCATATTCAGCTGTGTGGGGTTCATGTTGGTCATGTTCAGCTGGGAACTGTTCACTCCAGCCAGATCCAGCAGGCTGACGAGGTCATCCCAGTGCTGGTCCAGACTCTCCTGTCTGTTCAGATTTGCTGAGAGGTGTTGTGGAGGCTGCTGGAGAAGATTAACATTACAGTCAAACAGACCGTGCTTGCGCTGTGCCTTAGAAGGTTTGTCCCCCCTACGTGTCATGTACACATTTCTATACAAAATTACATGATAGTTTCTTAAAGAACTTCATCCGTCATGGGTCTTAAAATAAACAAAATTCAGATTTTGTTTGGTACAGGGGATTCATGGTCAAGTACCGTATTGATGTTTCATACACTTTTCTGGATTTCGAGTTATTTTGCAATTCATCGTTCTCATTTGGAGTCAAACGGACTGTAGTTGGTTGTATTGTGAATGTTGCAAGCATTGTCACTTCCTAACAAACACAAATAAAACTCAGCCATAACGAGACTAATATATCATTTGGTTATCAGACATGACAACTTTTAAAAAAATGAGTCGTTAAAAACAATGGTATAGGTCCTCTTTGCTCTGAGCATTTCATGAAATTTTCTCTGGAAATTTATTACTGTCAGAAAGGGAGAACAGGACTGCTACTATTAATAATAATGAATGATATTGGACAATAAATGAAATCCAACCATTGTCTTTGATATCTAATACATCAACACTTCTCAGTTAATACTTGTTATGAAAACAAACATGTTTGGGAGATTCTCACTCATATCATGTGCTAAGCATATAAAACTGTTGCCTACTATATGGAGTTTCATGAACGTAGAGGAATATTATTGTTGCGGGCTGCGCCTCAATACACAGATGAGTTTAGTTCCTGAATAAACAACAAAGCAACCGACACCTAGTTTGATGTTGAAGCGCACCCTGCAAATAAGACATGTTTAATATTTCAGAGGTGAGGTGGGCATACCTGCACAGCCTGTGTGGGGTAGTTCTCTGTTTCCAGCAGAAAATTCTCCACAGCTGGCACTGTGGGGCTGATGTGTGACTGGGGTGGCATGGGCAGTTGTGTGTTGTCGTCGGGCACAGTGTAGCCGGGGTCAACAAATGTGCCAGTCTCGGCATGCAAGATGTCCAGTGCCTCCTCCAAGGATAAGGCACTCTGAGAGACAGACAAAATATAGTAGAAGCAAAAAAATCAAAACTTTTGAAAATATTAATACTAAAATACTTAGCATGCTTAGAATAATGCACAGAGTTACCAAGGGTATTCTCTCCTAAAGCAGTAGCCCTATAGCTATGAGACACTTAATGAATAAGCTTCACATATTGTACCTTCCACATATATATGGGAAGCAGCTTTTCTGCCTGACTGAATGCATACACAGATACCAACAAGTTTGATGACACAATAAGTGTGATCTTATGACATGTCTGCAAATCAGTTTGCTTGAAAGAGCAACAAAAAGTTACACCCTACTTACGTTTAGCAGCTGGGAGTTGGTGAGGACATCTGGAGGCATCTGTGGGGGCGAGGACTGGAGAGACACCGAGCCATTCAGGGGAACCCATTCGCCTTGAAGAAAAGTCATACACATTATCAACAACTTTCAACACTGCATAGCACTGACATTGATCAGTCTCTTACCATGAAGAGCAGACTGAAAATGTCTCCATGTACAACAATTACAGATACGGAAAAACAGAAGGAAACCAGTGGTTGGAAGAATGCAAAAAACAATTTATGCCACGCATCCAAGTACTAAACATGAGACTCAAACGTGGTTGACAGTGTTTACAAAGTTACATCCATGGGTTTCACGAGACACTGGTTGACAGTTATTACATGCATCAATCTTATCAAGCTCTGGCACTGGTTGAAAGGTCTCACATCAGACTGTACTCAGATGTTATTCAGATGTTACTAACCAGTTTCTCCATCCTGCATGAAATTCTGGCTTAGCCATTGCTGCTGCTGCTGTCGCTTCTCTTCATCTGCCTTTAGTCTGAGTAGCTCAAGTTCCTTTTGCTATAAACACACAAGCATTATTCCCTTACAGAAAGCTGCAAAAGCATGAAGACCAACTTGTGTGCCTAAAGTTCTTCAAAATATCATGTTCAGATAGTTACAGAGTGGAATGATATTTACAGTCAAAAGAAGAAACTAACAAACCTTTTCTCTCTTTTTCTGTAGCTCTATCTCTCTGTCCCGCTCAAGTTCTCGTCGGAGATTGATGTCAAAAACCTCCTTCCCAACACCCAGGTCTATGTCTTGTCGCCATAATACCTCAATTAGATCCAAGTCCTGCAACACAACAAAGATGCATGATATAGTTGACTTCATGATAAAGGGGCAGTCTACTAATTTATTGCAGTATCATGGAAAACAAAGACTGCAGATCACAAACTGTTTCTACAGCATTCCCTCTCTGTACTGCTTCAGACAAACATCACATTAGCAGTTGCTGTAGTCGGATTGTCCCGATGTGGAGTACATAAGCACAGTGAATACTTTGTTTAAAAAGGACATGTCATATAAATTTTTGTGACGGCTTCAACTATAGCTAAATATTTGATAATCATAACAAAACAATGAATAACTTGCCAATGGCATCCCACAACCACTGTAATTGTGAAAACTGCGAAGAGCTGAGGCAGAATACATCCTTCTCACACTTTCTCCTTGCATATAATTAGCGGACAAGTCATAGCCGCAATATTAGGCGAGAGTAGCTCCGCCTACCACTCTGCCCAGGTCAAGTGCTTCACAATACAGGCTCATGATAGTCACATGTGTTGGATATTTATGTCCGTGAATTTACTGTCATTTCAATATTAAACAACATTCTATTTCATAACAAAAACAGAATCGGAATGTTAACAGTTATCAAAACAATAACACAACTGCAATCTCATAACTACTGTCAGATATTGAACTAACACCAATATTTCCAAATTGTTTTTATTGTTCTTAGTTTAACATGCTTCATAAATCTGAAAAAATTAAATTAACTCTTAATTAATTCCCATTGTTTATATTTATGACCTAATCTGTGTCAGGTGACTTCAGCTTTGTAAGCCTTAGTCCAGTGATGAAACGGAGAAAGGTCTCATCCTTACCCTACCTCCGGTTAGGCTTGGTGCTTTGAGGCACCAATACCACAGCCACTACCACTACAGGGCTCAAAATTAAAAAATAAAATCAGGTGTGCTAGGGCACTGGTTTGTCAGGTGTGCCATGTCTATATATCATGTATATATAACCCAATAATTATTTGTAAAAAAGGCAGCCAATCCATTACATCAAACTTTTAATTGACATGAATGTGTTCAAGGTTGCTGGCTGTGAAATTCCTAGAACCATAGACAAGTTTTTATTCAATTTCCATCTTTTACAACTGGCTGACCACCATCACTTCCCCATCACATAATAACCCAGACCAGTTACTGGGAATGCATCATACTGATTTGTGTTTAAATAATTTTGGCTTTGGTACTTCAGTACTATCACATGTCAGTCGCTTCTCAGAGATTTTTCAATGTTAGCACTAGCACTCAGCAATAAAGGCTCTTTTCTTGTTTGTTGTCTGCAGTAACTTTATTAAAAGTTACAGAAGTAGGCTTGAAGAAATAAAAAATAGTAGAGTTTTTCTTTTTAGACTTCCATTTTGAGAAATAGCGATCGTCTGCTAGGTTTTTCACAATTGTCAACATGAGTTACTTCTTCTTGAAAAGCATGACCTATGTAATATTCACGTTATTCTGTAAAAATATAGAGAGAAGCGAGTACTTTCGATAAGCGATATATTTTGTGCAATTTCAAACATCTCGGAACTGTCAACAGAAATCACCGATGAGGCACTGTATATAAAATTCCAGCGTGCCATTTCCTACGCTGTGTGTGCTGTGAGCACAACACTAGTAATTTCGAGCCATGCACCATGTGCTGACTAGGTAAATAGTACTACTTGTATATTGACTTGCATAATAAAGCAAAATTGTATACACCCCAATCCACAGGCTTTACCTTGTCAATTCCGTCCGAGAACCATACATCAATCACTTTGCTCATAGGAATATGCAAATAGTTACAATCAACATTACATGCGCCTGAAACCCATGTGCATTGTTAAGTGCATAATCAGAAACATGGGGGTAGAACTAGTCCAGACTGAGAGTTTGTTTTGGACTCTTGGTTACACTTCTAAGACCATGTTTAGCCACATCCCTTGCTCAGTGTCACATGTACAACACGACAAATTAGTATGACTGTACTGTAGTCCTGTATGCTGCTGGTTGTATGAGAGCAATATCACAACATCATGACGTATCATTTAATTTGATTAATGTATCACCAGGATCACCAGAGACAGCCTCACACCCACATTTACCGGACAATAGTGGTTTTGGACAAGTGGCTGAAATCAGACTGTCAACTGTCAGGTTCTAGATATCACCAGTCAGTTGTAAAATCGAAAGTTACAGGCAATTTTCCCCTAAACACCCTAAAACACCATCAATGGTGATGAGTTAAGACATGAGCAAAATGTCAACTAGCAGTGCCTTTTATTATCAGGTTACTGTATCACAACATCATGATCATGGTTAGAAACTAACAGTTTTCCTCCATTAGTCCTTATAATGATGACATATAACAAAACCCTTAAAAAGGGCAAATTTCTACTAGTCCTTATTATACCTTTACAATTGGGCAGTTTGGCAAGGACTATAGGACTAGTGCTTATTTCTAACGCTGATGATGCATCATTTGACATGACTAATGTATCACCAAAGAGTAGTAAGCCTCACAGCCACAATTATCAGAGTGATTGCTAACTTAAAATTGCAAACAAAGGAATTTGAATCATAGCAACTTATCAAAATTCTGGCCATGCATTAATGATCATGCAATAAAATAGCTTCAATAGCAAAGATGTGGAGAGCATCATGCCTATCTGTGTGAATACATGGACATAAAACAAAGAGAATTAAGCATTGGTTCATTTGGAGGACATCATCAAAGTTGGCTTTGCACTCAAGGATTAAGAAATTAAGTGGGGTATTGCTTTTGGGTGTATCCAAGAAAGGAGTCCACAGGTGGCAAAAAAATTAACATGCCGAACAGCTGCAATAATACTGTATTCTTAATTTCTATTGTAATGTTGGAAAACATTAACCTGACTGCCTGTGTTTGTTAACATAAAGATCACAGAGTGATGTACATGATGCACATGACAAAGTTTGATAAAATTTTCAGTCTGACAACATGGCACTTTCTTGTTGATTTGTAAAAAAACATTTTTCTTTAACTATTCTTAATTTTTCTAATTCCTAATCATGCTAACAGGGTAAAATCATGTGTCTGCGAACTTTCTGGTGATGAATTCTAAAGGTAAGCTGTTACATTTTGATCGTGGATGCTATGGTTACACACAAAGGCCTTTGACATTATTACCATTACATTCATATCGTATTCATACTCATCATAATGAACATTTGAAAGGAAATGTTTTAATATGTGTCATCTGCCAAAGGCTGAAAACTAATATTCCCCTCATTTGATGTAAGGCATGCTTATAAATAACTACTACACATGTACTACTATTTACAATTGATTTCACGATATATTCAGGTTATGCATATTTAAAAAAAGTGCTAAATTATGTTACAAAATCGCATTTCAGGGAGAAATGATAGACTGTAAGCCATGACTGAACTAAATGTGCATAACTTTGTTGGATTTCTGTTAACATTTTTCTAAATAGCATTGTGTGTTGAATGTTGAATGGATGTGTTCATAGTGTTTCGGGCATGGGAGACGTGCAAATTTACACTTGTCAGAGGGGTACACAAAGTACATGATCTAGACTACCAGTTGTCGGACTTTCATTCTTGTGGAAGCCTCGGTGGTTGAGTGGGTTAGATCGCTGACTTTGTGTGCTGGCGATTAGATGCCTCCCTCTGGCAAGTGGGTTCGAATCCCCAACAGGACTCAACCCCAAAAAGTACGAGAATCTGTACTTTACAAAGAAAGTGTTATCCCTATATATAACATTTGTTACAGCCACATGGTGACTTCACTTCATTACTTAAGGTATATTCTAGCAGGGAGTTTATCTGGAGTACTTTAAACATGTTAAATATTTCCAAACTATAGTCATTTTTGCTAATCAATTTTGTTGAACATGATGAAATATTTCTCCCTTCTTTCTTCTGAAAACAAGCAAAAGTAAAACAAGCCGTGATCATGTGTGCATTATTACTCGGTCACTAGCCAGTACTTGGTGACACATGGTCCTGTGTACAGTGCACAGGTCACAAATCAGGTGAAGTTAAGCAACATCGGCCACGGAGTGTCTTTGGATGGGTGACCGCGTTTCTAAGGCTTCGTTCCTGTCCCACGCTGAAGCACATGTAGCACACGTGGCATCTCCTTGGGCAAGTGACTTGAAATGTGCCTCTGTTCACCCAGCAGTGAATGGGTAGGATGAGATAGCATTGTGGGTGTTAACCTTCTAGCGCCTAACAGGCAGCAGGGGTTGTATACTCCACAGGGAGCTGAGAATGATTCTTGAGTGCACAATGATCCAGTGACCGGGGTAATAATAGCGCTTTGAGCATGCCGCTGAGTGGTGTGGTAATATGCGCAATATAAATAGCCTATTATTATCATTATTAAAAATCATAAGGACCCCCATTAATGTAATTTCTATCACTGCTTTAGTGGATAGTCTCATTCACATCCTCAAGACAGACAAAAGGAAATTTGTCTCTTGGCATCATTTATAGCAGATATTAGTGCTAGTGAGTGAGCTATAACTGACCTTACGTTACTAAATTAATCGATTTTTTTCCAGATTGGGGACCCAGGCAAATGGTTGCTGTTGATGTTAATTTGTAATATGCCACAACCAGGAACATGTTAGCCTATCGGTAGACCAGATACAGGCCTAGTGCTAGAAGAGTAAAATCACTTCGGCCGCATGCTAGAAGAGTAAAATCACTTCGGCTGCAGTACGAAATATATCTGAAGGATAGTTGAACTATGATCCGATCATCAAGACTAACATTGTTAGTGAACACACAATCTAACAAATCTACTCATATGAACATAAAGAAGTTTGTACCTCATCTGTAGGTTCACTTCCTGGTTCAGAGGGTGGTGGAACCCCAACTGCACCTACACTATCATCACCATCAGTCACAGAACATACACCTTCTGATGTAGAGGCTTGATTGTCAACATTTTCTTGGACCAATGATGCAGATGTCTCTGCATTTGGTATGGCAGGATGAGCATGGTTATTGTTATTGGAATCTTCACTGGAATGTGACTGAGGAGGGCCACTGGCTGCAGTAGCAGGTAGCCCAAAAGTGGTTTCACTAACTAAAAAAGCATTAACTTCAGTAGCGATTCCATCAAAACGTCGAAATCTTGATAAACTTCGTAAATCTCTAAAAATTGAAGAGAAAAAGTCATTGTCTACATTTTTGGGATGTACACTTCCACCTGGACTGTTCTGGGTGTTGTACTGGTTATGAAAGTTTGTTGTTGTGTAGGCAAATGATTGTCCAAGAATGATGTCTTGAACTTCTGGGTAGTTTATGTAGTTGTTATGTAAGTGCCAATTATTGAGATCAGTTCTCAGAAGGCTGAGTATTATCGCTATTTGGATAAGTCCATCCGTGAAGTACTGCTTGATCATAATGGCTGTGTCCTGTTACTGTTTGACTGTATCTCCAAAAGTGTAAGGAAAGTAGGCCTGTATGTCAAATGTTCTTCGAAAATATTTTGAGTTTTTTCTTTGTTTTTGTCTATCTGTTGCTTCTTTCAACCAGTGCTAAAAATAGTCACAAGCATATCCCTGCCATTGTGGTGAGGCACCGTATAACATTCATCATAAATGCTATCCAGATTGAACAAACGACACTTCCATCATCTCATCTTTCCCTTCGGAGTGACATCTTCACTTCTCATAATCTTCAGACAGCAAATTAGTGCATAAAACTCCCGTTCTCGAAAATTCTATTTCACAGCTCCAGACAAATGAATCAGCACGTTTGTTATGACATCACACAACCACTGCGCATGTACGGGAAGTGACGTACAACACATGTACACACTTCTTCTGACCTACTTCCGGGCCTATCACAAGATCATTGAGTACACTTTGACCCTACAAATCGACATACACACGAAAGAAATAAATAATACAAAATGACCCTTATCCACATAGTCACAAATAAACAATACTGCCATAAACAAGAACATATACTTGTGTCCGATCGCAAATTATCGATCCATAACTTGCCTAACCCAGCTGATCACAAACCATGGCGAAGCTCTCCTCGATCGTGCCCCAGGCATCGTCAACGTTTAGGAGTGTTCGTTTCGTTTATAACCACAAATAAACAACGAATGAAACATAATAGTATACACCACATTACCTGTGAACGTTCCTGGCCACCCGTATGTGGCATCACGGACTGTATTTGCAACATTTTCGAGGTTTTCAATACCACAATCCTGTATATTGACAACCTCGACTGGGTTCTGTCCTGGTATGAATATACGACCTCTGACCCTAAGTATACGAGTTTCCGATTGGTTGAAATGTTTATGTTCTGTAAAAGTATTTCTTGGTTTATCTTGCTTGTTTTATATGATATATATTCAATCTAGGCATGTTATGATTATTTAAAATCGATATGTTGACGCACTGGTCTCACATTTGCAAGCATACGTACGTTACAACCTATGCTACCGCTTCAATAACACGTTGTTCTAGTTCATGTTTCTATTCCTGGAGAATCCAGGTCAGTATATCGCTATTGGGCAAGCAGACAGTCACGTGTGGAGTCTCTGTCAGGCTATGGAGAGACATATATATACATGTATGTTTGAACAAACGTGTTTGCATCACTGCACTTTTGTTATCAGTGTCAATTATTGCAGGCCTTGGAGACAGTGGGATGATAGCTGGGTGATAACACTAAGCCACGTCTTTCTTCACACTCAAATGTGAATCGCCATGAAGTGATTTACAAAAGAAAATATATGCCTCTCAGTTGATTTTATCATATACTGAACAACAAAAGTTCCTTTGACATTGAATTAGATTTAATGTTAAGTTATGTTTTTTACCAAATCTGAAACAATTTCGGTTTGCAACAGATAAAAGACTCCTGTAAGTGTTCAAATGGTTAATTTGCCATACTGACTTCAGAAAGTGCGTCATTTGATAAAAAAACCCATGAACATGCCAAAATGTAAATTTACAAATCAATAGCGTGTGTGTCCACCTCTGGTTGCGATGCAAGCAACACATCTTCGTCTCATGGAATTGACCAGGCGTCGCACAAAGTCCTGTGGGATATCTGTCCATATCTGCTGGAGCATGTTTCGAAGTTCCTGGAGTGTGTGTACGTGGAACACGTGGTTGACGTCGAAGGCGCCGATCCATCCCAGCCCACATGTGCTCGATTGGTGAGAGATCAGGGGAGCGAGCCGGCCAGGGGATGACATTCACGTTGTTTTGTTGAAGAGAATCCTGAACAAGTCGAGCAATATGAGGCCGGGCGTTGTCATGTTGAAAGGTAATGCCTGGGCTTTGACGACGCAAAAACGGTAGAAAAACAGGGCCGATGATCTCGTCGCGGTAGCGCTGTCCATTGAGATTTCCCTCTACCGCCATCAGACGGGACCTCTGTCTTGCTGTAATCCCACCCCATACCATAACGCTGCCGCCCCCAAACTGATCTTCTTCCATGACACAATGATTGAAGTAACGTTCACCTCGACGTCGGTACACTCGAATCTGTCCATCGCTGTGGATGAGGTGAAAACGAGAGACGTCAGTTAATGGAACTTGTCCCCACTGCATGGCCGTCCAGCGTAGACGCTGTCTGCACCATTGTAGACGTGCTTGACGGTGTTTTCCTGTCAAAATAGGACGTCTGGCGGGTCTTTTGGCGACAATCCCTGCACATCTGAGGCGGCGACGTACGGTTTGTGAAGATATTCGACGAAGGCCAGGGATGCTTCTTGCAGTCACTGTTGCTGGCTGGAATCGATTTCGTAGGTGTGTTGTTCGAATCCAGTTGTCTTGTCGATTATTGGTTACGCGTGGCCTGCCACTCCGAGGATGGTCTCTGACTGCATTCGTCTGTTGCCAACGTTGCCATAAACACCAAATGGTGTTTCTGTGGACGTTAAATTGTCTTGCAACATCACGTTGACTCGATCCTGCTTCAAGCATACCAATGGCTCGCAGACGCTCATTTTCGGACAGGCGTGGCATTTCGTAATGTTGAATAATTGCGTAATTTTGTTGTTTTTCTGACTTGTTGTCAGCACGATGCTAAACAATCAGGGTTAGAAACCAACAGTTTTTGTCCACTGGTCCTTATAATGATAACATATAGCAAAACCCTTAAAATGGGCCAATTTCTACTAGTCCTTAGGATACCTTTACTATTGGGCAGTTTGGTAAGGACTATAGACTAGTGCCAATTTCTAACGCTGACAATGCATATGGAATCCCGTTAACGCACATGTTTTTATACCCATTCTTGGGTAGTGAAATGCATGGGCCTTGCATAAAAGTCAACTTTTGCATGGAATGCATGCTTTTCTGTAGCAGTTGCGTTTTTGTGACTTCATTCCATACATGTACTACAATAATGAAAACCAAACTTTACTTGGTTGATAAATACACTAAAATATTGGTGTCACGGGAACTTTTGTTGTCGAGTATATGTTGGATTTAAAAAAAGAAATCTTTTCCGTTGTCAGCGATATTATATCCAAAAAAATAACTGCACTGGCGTTTAGTCGGCACTCAAAGAATACTTCTACATGTTTTTTTTTAGAAAATATAATTTGATATAAAATTTAACCTTTTCGTATACTACAAAACTGTTGATAGGTATTTTAAAAAGACATCTTTTGTTTGAAAATCAATAAATGTGCCTTTTTCGGCACAAGTTTACAACATTTCAAACATGGCAGGGGTCATGTGGTTGCAAATTCATTTTATACCCCAGTCTTCATTGAACCGATTTCATTTAACGCAAAATTAACCAGCCATACATATATTTTTTTAAACTGTTATAGGAATGTGTGACGGTTAGAAAGACATTCAAATTTAACAACTGTTATTTCAGTTGTTAATTACATAAAAAGCAAACTTGGTATACCTTTTGTCCCTTAGTTTATTACATGTAACATACATATTGCATCACCCACACTCCCTTTGTAACAATACAGACACACAGACTGACAGACTCACTCATACACACGCACGCACAGACACACAGATAGACACACACACACATACACACGCACCCACACACACACGCACGCACAGCCACACACACGCGCACGCACAGACAAAGACAGACACACGCACAGACACACATACACACACAGACAGACACATACACACACGGAGACAGACAGACACACACATGCACGCACGCACAGACATACATACACACGCAGACACACAGACTGACAGACACACACAGACAGACATACACACCTGGGCTGAAAGTAAAGGCGTCAGCTAAAGGACGTCATCTTCCCGAGGCAAGGGAGTTTACTGACTATAAAAGTTCAGTTTCCAGTTAACTCTCTTGCCTAGGGAAAATGAAGGACGTCAAAGATGTGCACGTTCACAAGGGTCATACCAGTCCTAATTTATCCCAAACATATTGGCATTTGTCGAGATTAACGGGACTGTGCTCTATGTCTGGTGGAGATTTCCTATCCTTTTGTATAATTAGAATTATGTATGTATAGTTAAGTCTCCCTTTAAGCCATCTCTTCTCTATAATAGCTTCTCAACTGCCATGTTACGCAATAATAACAACTCATGCAACTCACTTTAAAATACATAAAAAAACTGAAGGCAAAAGAACGTATACACCCATGTTTGACGGTGGCTAAATATGAAACAAACAAGACATTGTTATTCGATGGTGATGTATTTGATACGGGTTTCATAGTTGTGTTTTGGAAATAATATTGCAGTGTTTCGTCGATTGTTTTCATGCCTGGTAACGTTTGTAATTTTTTGTCAAATCCAGTTTTCAAGTGTATAAATTCATTTAATTTTGACCGTCAGTTTACATCGAATGTTTGGAAAGTTATAGGGCAACATACGAAGATATTGTGTAAAAGGGAATTCATAAACTAATCATAAAGTAGCTCGGCTTGAAATACTCATGTGTATTTACTCTCTATCAAATCAACTTCACACGTCATAGCAGGGTTACTAACTTACTACAATGCCACTACAAGTTTCACTGCGACTTTCAAACCGGCTTGACAACTGGATGCTGTCTGCGCAGTCCTTCAGCAGTAGGGTGCTTTATGCCTGCTGAAAGTCCCGCAGTGTGTTCCGAACAATGCACAGATACAATCCAATGTCAGCCTGACCCAGCCACGGGAGAGAGCCCCCAACAGTTGCACAAGCTACGTAGACAGAATCCTCCCTGGGAGCAGCTCCCTGACCGGGAGACAAGACTAACTTTAGTCTCTCAAATGAACATATTTTACTGAAAAAAACCCAGTTGTTTAATAATAGTTATAAAATATAATAAAAAGGAGACCAGAGACTATCTTCGTTTTCAGACACTGTAGTAATCTAGACTTACCAAACAATATAGACTTGCATGGGCTACAATGGATATATTTTATTTCAGGGTCTGTATGACAGACCACCGGGTGGATATGCACTGGGCCCGGCACGACCTCGGTCTGCGCACACGCACACACGCGCATACACACACATACAGAAAGTGCAGACGCACATTCACTAGAAAATACACATTTCACATACCACCACAACTCCAAAAAACAATATGCAACTGCACAGATTAACAGTGTGTTCGACCGGTTTTTCTACCTGTTCTACCTTATCACCAACAACGGATTATGTGTTTGTTTGTTGGTTAGTGCCGCATTCAGCAATATTCCAGCTATATCACGGTCTGTAGTAATGGAGTCTGGACCAGACAATCCAGTGATTGACTTCATGAGCATCGATCTGCGCAATAGGGATACGATGACATG